AAATTTATTCTTGATTTTAAAAAAAAGGCTCGTCTCATTTGGTTTGGCTTGGTTACTTCTATACGCGCAGTAAGGCTATAAATTAAACCTATGGGCCTCCTTGAGTTTGCTCGGCAAATCTAGACTTCTACAATGGTGAGTCATTTCAGCTCCTATCCAGCAGTTTTCATGTGGAATTTTAGGTTGCAGTTTGTCTTTTAACATCATCTTAAAAAATTTTGGTAATATATGTCTAAAGTAAAATTGCCATTTTAACTGTTTTTAAGTGTAGGATTCAGTAGCATTAATTACAATCGCAATGCTGCATGGCCATCACCACTATTTCCGAAACTTTATCATCACCCCAAACAGAAACTCTACATCCATGTAAGCAGTAACTGCCCATCTCCCTCACTCCCCCAGCTCTGGTAACTTCTAATCTATTTTCTGTCTCTATCAATTTGCCTATTCTAGATATTTTATATAAGTGGAATCATAAAATATTTGTACTTTTGTATCTGGCTTCTTTCACTTAGCATAATGTTTTCCAGGTTCATCTATGTTGTAGCATGTATCAAAACTTCATTCTTTTTTTAATGGTTAAATAATATTCCATTATATGGATATACCACATTTTGTTTACCCATTCATCTGTTGATGGACACTTGGGTTGTTTCCACCTTTTGGTTTTGTGACTAATGCTGGTATGAATATTGATGTACACGTATCTGTTTTAGTCCTTATTTTCCATTTTTTTTGGGGTATATACTTAGGAGTGGAATTGCTGGATCACGTGGTAATTTTATGTTTAACATTTTGAGGAATCCCCAAACAGTTTTCCACAGTGGTTGCGCCATTTTACATTCCCACCCGCAATGGACAAAGGTCCCAGTTTCTCCTTGCCAACACTTACTATTTTCTATTTTTTTACAGCTATCCTCATAGGTATGAAGTGGCATCTCATTGTAGTTTTAATTTGTGTTTCCTTAATGGCTAATGATGTTGAGCATCTTTTCATGTGCTTATCGACCACTCGTATATCTTGTTTGGAGAAATGTCTATTCAAGTCCTTTGCCCATTTTAAAATTAGGTTGTTTGTCTTTTTTGTCGTGGATTTGTAGGAGTTCTTTATATTTTCTGGAAATTAAACCCTTATCAGATATATGATTTGCAAATATTTTCTCCCATTCTGTAGATTGTCTTTTTACTTTCTTGATAATGGCCTTTGAAGCACAAAATTAGGTTGGACTTTTAAAACCTCTGTTATTTGCTCTTCTATCTAGAGTGAACAGCCATCCCTGTTTGCCCAGGACTGAAGGAGTTTATGGAATGTAGGACTTTTAGTGCTAATGCCAGGAAAGTTCTGGGCAAACTGGGACAAGTCGGTCATCCTACTTTTATCCTAAGGGTTGGATACCAAGCCCAAGATGCTCTCTCCACCAGATTTCCCCTGCAATATCGATAAATTCGAGTGACTTCCTCTCTTCTTAAAATCCCCAATTTTTCTAATGTCTCTCTCCTGCTAGGAAGTAAACTTATCACCTTGTTCTAGGCTAGCTTCCTAGGAGGACTTGCAGGCATTGGCTCCACGTGTTCCCTTATAGTGGGCTCGGCACGCTTGATTAAATGAGAATCATTTTCCAACATGAGACTCCAAGTAGGGCCTTAGTGGCACAATTGATTTATCCAGTTATATCCCAGTAAAAAGGTGGACAGGTTCATATTGAATCTGTGCAGATAATTTATTGCCATGGAAAATAAGGAGACTTGTAAAAGTATTAGTTTCTGAAGTGTGAGGGGGGGTCAGTGAGATTCCAATACCATTTAAAATGTTTAATTTCAGTTTACAAAAGTATAAGCCACTTTAAGCAAAAGCATAAGCTGAGGGTTAGGGACAGCTCAGGAAGACAGAGAAAGGACTTCCTCATAGATCCATAAAAATAGGACAGTAAAAATAATACCGACCACATTCCAAACAAATAACCACAATTAGAGTTCCCTCAGCTGTTCATTCAGTCCCATGTAATTAGTTCTTGTTCCACTGGATCTTGGGCAAGCTGTCTGCTCTTGGACTCAAAGACTCCTGGAAATCCTGACTCCGTCCACTAACTCAGTCTGGAGGCATCTAAGCTATGTCAGCTTAGACGTCTGTACCCAAGTGAAGCATCAATAATTCAGGGAACCTGGGACAGTCCTGGAAACCCTGGCGGCATAGCAGTTAAAAGCTATGGCTGCTAACCAAAAGGTCAGCAGTTTGAATCCACCAGGTGCTCCTTGGAAACTCTGTGGGGCAGTTCTAGTCTGTCCTATAGGGTCACTATGAGCTGGAATTGACTTGACCTTAACAGGGGACAGTCCTTTCTCGCCAGGATTTGAGTTTGTCCTTTTTTGTTGAAGACACAAACTCTGACCTGCAGCTTATAAGAGAGCATGTTGCTGTCGGGTGCCGTCGAGTCCAACTCATAGTGACCCCATGTGACAGAGCAGAACTGCCCCATAGGGTCTCCTAGGCTGTGATCATTACAGAAGCAGATCGCCAGATCCTTCTTCTGCAGAGCTGATGGGTGAGTTCGAACCGCCAACCTTTAGGCACTGAGCACTTAACCATTGTGCCACCAGGGCTCCTTTCAGATGAGTATAGGGAAGCACAAACCTGTTTAATAATGAGGCTGAAAGGCTGTGGCTATTTATTACAGTAGTGAATAATATCAGAATGGAGGAGAGAAAAATTCTCTATTGGGATACGGTACATAACTATTTCATTTGCATTTGATCAGTGTTTCCCCTGAAGATAAGAACATACTATGGATAGTAAAGGCATTGAGAAATCTCCAGGGCCTTCCCATAAAGCATGCAATTGCTGAAATATTTATGTTAATAGCAATTTACCTAGATAAATAGCCTCGGAAAGGCTGAGCATCTCCACTCATTGGACAATTCTTATAATAATAGTAAGCTATTTAATAAATACAGAGACAGATATCCTGGAATTTTTATTTTATTATTATTTTTTAATTAAAGATCTGATCTTAGGCTTCTAACTGAAAGGTCGGCAGTTCAAACCCACCAGCCACTCCTCGGGAGAAAGATGTGGCAGTCAGCTTTCATAAAGATTACAGCCTTGGAAACTCTATGGGGCAGTTCTACTCTGTCCTTAGGGTTGCTAGGAGTTGTAATTGACTCTACGGCAAGGGGTTAGGGTTTAGAGGCACAGTTAGGAAACAAAAAGTAAAACAAAAACACAATAAAATATTATTTAAAAAAAAGATCTAATTGTGGGAAGGCAAAATCAAAAGAGCTGTCAGAGAAGATTTGGGTGTAAAATTAAGATAGGATCATGGGAGCCTGAGAAATAGTGCTTGGTTATCTAACCGAAGTGACGATGAAATTAAATATTTTAAAATAAACATTTTATAGTTATAAAGATTTTTACAATGAAATGTCAAGGATACTTACTTAACTCTTTCATAAGGGAGGTGCCTTTGCTTTTCACTTAAGATAAAAATTAAGGATGTGATAAAGTCAACATAAAGCAGAGAAAATTATTCTGGTGAGACATAGAATCTCTGCAATCCAGACAGCTTACATAGAAGATAAATAGTAACCTCTTTTTACTCCTTGGGAAGAGTTCTAAGACCAATTTATCATTTTAATAGAGATAAATCCAAATTATAGTTTTGCATTAATATAACATGTGGCAGTAAAAGTTTCACACTTAAAAAAAAAATTAGGACTAAACCCCTCAAAATCGAATCAAATCTGGTAAAATGTTAACACATTTCATGCGTGTTTTTCAGACTCAGGTATTATAAATCAAGGCAAATAAAATTTCCTTTCTGCAAATCCTCTACAACTTTTTATATCCATTCAGGTTTAGCCTTTTATCCCCTTTCATATTTTGGAACAACCAGAGACTTTAAGGCAAAAATCACTTGCCTTTCTCCTTGAAAAGCAAAAAACTCATCTCATTTCCTTACAGACACCATTGCTCCTGGTACAGGCTCAAGTACCCACAGTGATTACATCATTCAGCCAGAATAACTAATCTCTACTTCACAGAACAGGAGCCCTGGTGGCACAACGGTTAAGCACTTGGCTGTTAACTGCAAGGTTGGCAGTTGGAACTCACCCAGTGGCTCTGCAGGAGAAAGACCTGGCAGTCTGTTTCTGTAAGGATTACAGCCTGGAAAACCCTACGAGGCAGTTCTACTCTGTCACATAGGGTCGCTGTGAGTTGGAATTGACTCGACGGCACCCAACAACAACAAAAATTATTTCACAGAAAGAACTGGTGGGTAAATAATTGAGGACTGTCTATACTAGCATTTTAACAGACTCACAAAGCTCACAAATACACACAATACAACTTTCAATAGCCACCCATGTCCCTTGTACAACTTTTGAAAGTGGTAGAAATGAACACATTCATTAATACAACCCAAAGATAGAGTTACTCTCTAACATAGAAAAGTAAGAAGCAAAAGGAGCTAAACCTAAAATTATGCTTAGCATTCAATGTTTCAGTATTAATTTTTTCTTAGAAATTATCCAGGTAGCCAAAAATTATTTATTAATTAACTTGATTTAATATTAGTTTAGGAGTCCTTGGGTGGCACAGGTGATTAAACAAAGCTTGGTGGTTCAAACTCCATCCAGAGGTGCCTTGGAAGAAAGGCCTGGTAATCTGCTTCAAAAAGATCACAGCTTTGAAAACACTGTGGAGTGCAGTTCTACTCTGCACATATGGGGTCACCATGAGTCAGAGCCGACTCACGGGCAACTAACAACAACAACGAATTAAGTTTTTTTAAGTTACCTAAAGATCTTGAAGGAGCCCTGGTGGTGCAGTGGTTAAGCGCTCAGCTGCTAACTGAAAGGTCATTGGTTCCAATCATGGCTGCTCTGTGGGAGAAAGATGTGGCAGTCTGCTTCTGTTTAGATTTACAGCCTTGGAAACACTATGGGGCAGTTCTACTCTGTCCTATAGGGTCGCTATGAGTCAGAATCCACTTGACGGCAGTGGGTTTTGGTTTTGAAAGGATTTTGAAAATTGTATTTAAGGTGGCACACAATAAAATACAATTACTGCTGATATAAAATGTGTTTGTCAGAATAATGACTCAATTTACTTGAACACAAATGGACATTTTATAATCTTAAACATTATGTAAGAATATTGTTGGCTTATTGGTCAGCAAACCAAAAGCAGAAGTGTAGGAAATTCAGATTGACTAGTTTCTTTACAAAAAATACATCAAGATCTTATTAAAAAATAGATGTATACTTGCATTATATTTAATATAGATATAACATAGTTTTTTTTTGTAAACCACAATTATTAAACCAGTTTAATTTGTCCAAAGATTCACCTTAGTTATGTGAATCTGGATCCTTAAAAGGTTTCTGAACTAGCAATTTCTGTAAAAAGGATTTTTCTTAAATGCCTAGCACACTTAAAGTATTAGAAGTTCAGTTTCTTTATTTACTGTGATTTTAGGAAACACTGGATTTCTATAAGCACGTATTTGTCTCCGTAACCCAGTCAACACAGTCTTGCTTTAAGAGACACAGTAAGTTATAATAACCAAAGGAGCCCTAGTGGCACAGTGGTTAAGAGCTCGGCTGCTAACCAAAAGGTTAGCAGTACAAATCCACCAGCTGCTCCTTGGGAACCCTTTGGGGCAGTTCTACTCTGTCCTGTAGGGTCGCTATGAGTCAGAATGAACTTGACGGCAACGGATTCAATGGAATGTAGAACACCATTTCATATTCACAAAAGTTAAAGGCCTTTCTGAATTACAGACACATAGAGAACATATGGCTTCATTTCTACAACTTCAGCTACCAGTCAAAAGTAAACACAGAAACACAAAAACTCAGTAGTCCAGATCTCAAAGAGCTCTTCTCCTTCCCAAACCCAAACCAAACCCATTGCTGTCAAGTCAATTCCCACTCAAAGCAGCCCTACAGGACAGAGTAGAACTGCCCCATAGGGTTTCCAAAGCTATAAATATTTTTGGAAGCAGTAGTTCAAACTGCTGAGCTTTTGGTTAGCAGCCGAGTGCTTACCACTGCGATACCAGGGCTCCTGTTCTCTTTCCCTGTGGGTCTGAAATTCTTAACTGATTTGAAGTCACAAATGCACAAACAAATAAGATTAGCCAACCAGATTGTCTGTCATCTCTCAACCAACAAGCACTAGTTCTCTGTCTCCTTCCCACAAAGGTCACCAATGGTCAGACCATAAAATTGAATTTCCTATCATCGCTGCCACCAGTGGGGAATAACTTTTCGGTCAAGTGTGAACCAGACACAAAAACACAAAATCGATAAAAAGAATCAAACAAACAAAAACCCTAGATAAAGAGAGAGCCAGCAAAGCTGAAGTTCTGTAATACTTGGGATTCTCTCCAATAGTCCAGAAAAGAAGTGCCTGTGCTTAAAGAAGATCCCTGGGTGGCACAAATGGTTTGCTCTCGGCTATTAACCTAAAGGTTGGTGGTTTGAACCCACCCAGCAGTGCCACAGAAGAAAGGCCTGACGATCTGCTTCTGTAAAGATTACAGCCAAGAAAACCCGATGGAGCAGCTCTACTCTGTAACACACAGGGTCACCATGAGTCTGAATGAACTCTACGGCAGCAGGGTTTCATTTTGGTATGAGGTTTAAAGAGCTCAGCAGTTACACTCTCCTGCAATAGTTTTCTTGGCTTTGTCATGAGTCCACTGGGGCATCTCGACGGAACCTCCAAAACCGTTAAAGGATAGTTTTCAAAAAGGTAAAATCATGACTCTTAGACAAATATAAAATGAACACATACTGAAGATTTTATTTAACTCATTAATTAATGAGGGATATTGTGGTTCAGAGAGAATTATAAAAGTTAAGGTGTCTATAGGTAATTTAACAAAGAAATGTTAAAATCCAATTGCTGAGTTAGAATTTACAAAGCTGGTTAATGTCCAACAGGACCTAAATCTTTTGAGTTATGTGTTCCATCAGACAAAAAATATTTGCATCCCTCCTGGACAAAAATCTACATGTTAACATGGGACTTCATTTAGTCTGGACCTTTAATCAGTAGTAAATAATGAGATGAACTAAGTATATTTGCATAGTCTAGAAAATGTTTGGGTGGCCTTTGTCCCTGTGTAATGTTGAAAGGATCTACTGTCTACCTTTTTGCCTTATTTTCAAGTATCAGATAACTTATGAACACTGACGAACGCTTTCTGGGGGGTATTAGCTGCTGTACTTCAGCAGCGGCCTAAATGGAGGGGATGCAGACAGATACGTTTTGATGTTGGATGGGTGAAGGGAAAGGTTTGAGGCCAGTTCAGGGCACTGTTGAGAGGGCTGTCTTGGATGGGGCTCGGGAGCTTCAAGGGTAGACCCCGGCTTAGGTTAGGCAGAAGACTCCATACTTGGGGAGAAGGGAGGAGGGGGTGGTTGAAGATAAACACCTCCCCTTTTTGAGTGTGACCCAGAGCTGTCCCCTCAACTCACCGTTTCTTCCAGGCGGCAAAGTTCAGCTTCCTGGGCAGCGAACAGGAGCCGGAGATGATCTTCGACTGGGTTGATGTGGAGCGGAAGGGACACCTCTCCCTTGAAGAATTCAGCTCTGGGCTCAGTATGTCTGTCCTGGGAAGGCCTCTGGGGACTTCCTGCATAGCTAGGCGTCCCACGAAATGTACCCACCCTGGGTCTTGGCTGGGCTGGCAGGAAAGGCAACCGTAATTCCTTAAACAGCCAGGGATCTTTACCACACCCCCGAGAGCAGTTCAGGGCATTGATGAGAATAAGGATTATTGCGGAGATGACGAAACTGAGCCTGGGCTGGGAAGGCAGTTACAGGCAGAGCTGGGCCTTGAGACTCCCCACCCAGCAGATATGCTTACTTCTGTTCCTACCAGCCAGGGTTGTTCATTGGCTGGGGGGCTCCCCTGAGCATCCCTTCTCCTCCAGAGAGGTCTCCAGGCTTGTTTTTTGACACCTCTCCTGTTTTCTCCCCAACAAAAGACTTCTCTAGGGTGAAAGGTTAAACATTGCCCTTGTTTCTGCCTGAGAAGGGTCATATCCTGACTTTGCTTAAGTGAATTCCAGCCCCAGGGAACAGCAGGGGTGTGATATTTAGAAGGTAGGGACTTCTCCCAAAATCAGGTGCCCTCAAGTCATTTGGACTCATGGTGAGTCCCTTGGGTGGCACAAACAGCTAATGGCTTCTCCTGCTAACCAAAAGGTTGGAGGTTCAAGTTCACCTAGAAGTGTTCAGAAGAAAGACCTGGTGATCTAATTCTGAAAAATCAGCCATTGAAAACCCGACAGAGCACAGTTCTACTTTGACATACATGGGGCCGCCATTAGTCGGAATCAACTCCATGGCAACTGGTACTGGTTTTGGGGGCTTCCCAGGCCCCGAACTCCACTGGGCAGGGCCACCCCAGCACCCACCTCTCAAGACAGGCCCAACAAGACCTAGAGAGACCAAGGCCAAGAGGGCACAATACATGCACTGATTCTCTTGCTGGGGGAAGGACTTCAGTCCAGGGAATGAGAGCTGTGGTGTTCTCAGTAGAGGGCCTGCAAAGCACAACTCAGCCTTCAATGCCCACAAAGCCACTCAGAGTCCTCAGGTCTGCTGAGTCTTCAAAAGCTTGGGGGCCAGCAGACAGGGAGGCCAGAGATCTGCATTTACAGACTGGGGACACCCCAGGAGGAGTGCAGGTGGGGAGAAGGGATTGGGACTGAGGGGACAGGAAACATCTGTTTTTCATACAACCCCAAGGGACCATCTTCACATCCGAATCCAATCATACCAACATGCCAGGGACTCTCCATTGCCCAGGGAACAAAATCCAAACCACTTTCTGGGGCCAACAGGGCCTGCATGGACTGGACCTTGCCAACCTCTTGGTCTCACTCAGGGTCACTCGGCCCCTCTCTCGTGCCAGCCTGGCTCTCACCTCAGGGCCGTTGCATGTATTGTTCTCTCTGCCTGGAATGCGCTTCCCTCAATATCCACATGGCTTGTTCCTTCTTGTTACTCTTACCTCAGTTCCAATGTAACATCCTCAGGGACACCTCCTGACCACCCCTTCTAAAGTAGGCCCCTCTCCCAGTGTCTCGATGGCCATTAGCTTATTTATTCCTTTAGCTCACTTGGCAAAGTTACCTCTTTTTTAAAAAAGGATCCTGATCCTCAACCCTCACTAGAATGTCAGCTCCACCAGGGCAGGGATTTGGGCCAATTTTGTCCCTAGCACCTAGAACTACTACTATGTGTCCAGCACATAGTAGATGCTCAATAAATATTCCTTGAGTGAGTGGATGAAGGCCACCATGGAGCCACTGTGTGACTTCTGGCAAGCTTCCTGGCCTCTCTGAGCCTCAGATTCTCATCTGTAAAGTGGGCGTGATGTCTATCTTGAGTAGACTTCCGAGGTTGATATGAAGAATGAATGAATGCGACCCTGTATAAATGTGACGACACAGGTATGATTACTTTCCGCAAGGGCTGGAGCAGAGCAGGTCAGGGTGGAAGGTATGGGATGCTTTCCTCTGTCCCCCTCTGCCCACAGAGAGCATCTTTGGCTCCAGCCCGAGCACCCACAGGCTCCGCAGAAGGAGGCCACTGACCTCCAAGCGGGTATCTGCAGCTGCCAGCTTCCCAGCAATGGAGGAGGCCAACACCGAGGAGAAGGAGGCGTTCCTTGCCTTAATGGAGAAGCTGGGGGCCAACCACTTACTTCCCGAGTAAGGCCAGCAGTGTGTGTAGGGTGGGGGCTTGCCCAGGCAGAGTGGCAAGATGGGAGGCCTCGGATAGAACAAGGTGCAAATCCTGGGGTGGCTACTTGCTGGCTGTGCCACCTAGGCAAACGGCCTGGCCTCTCTACCCTCGTTCCTTTCCCGGCTGCAGAATGAGCATAAGAGCTGTTGTGGGATTAAATGGGAGTCTCTGGGTGGAGCAAACAGTTAATGTGTTCTGCTGGTAACCAAAAGATTGGTGGTTTGAGTCCACTCAGAGGTGCCTCAGAAGAAAGGCCTGGTGATCTACTTCTTAAAAATCAGCCATTGGAAACCCTATGGAGCACATTTCTAGTCTGTCACGCATAGGGTTGCCATGAGTCAGAGGTGACTCATGGGCAACTGGTACTGGCAAGATCAAATGAAACCATGTGTCACGAGAAGTTCCCCCCACTCCCACACTCTCCCTCTCTTGTCCTGTCCCATAGAATCACTCCCCAGCAGGATGAGTGAGTTGGGGTATCAGTCTCCCAAGGGGACTTCCATTCTGAAAAACAGGAGGCTCCCTGAAGGTGCCTTTCTTAACCCAAAGAGGGGGTTCTCCAACGGGGTGATTTCAGGCATGGCGATGCCCAGGGTTGGGGAGGTTTGGAGACAGGAAGGCATTTCCTCCAAATTGTCTCAGGCTTATGGGATTCCCTCAGGTTCAGAAAAGGGGGACTGCCTGAAAATGCCCCTCCCACACACCCCAGACCCCACTGGCATCCCTTAGAGCCAGTGAAGGACTTGCCCGTGCCCATTTGCCCAGGCTCACTCACCCCATTGGGCTCCCTGGGACAAGATGTGTTGGGGCAGGCTGGGCGGGGCTTAGGGTGTAGGCTGGCAGGGCACGTGGGGCGGGAGCCATTTATCCACTTGGCAGCATGGCCTGGGTCAGCCCTCTGGCATCTGTCTTCATGACTTAATTAAATCCATGTGAAAGCGACATTTATCGAGTACCAGCCGGGTGCCAGGCCCCACGCTGGTGCTTTCATTGGGCGTGTCTGTCATTCTCCATCCATCTTGCCAGTTAGGTGTCATCCTCCCCATTTGACAAATAAGCCCAGAGAGGGCATTGGACCTGCCGAAGGCCACACAGCTACAGAATGCGTGAGAAGGGAGAAGGCCAATGGAAACCCCCAAGGCTCCCCATCCCACATTTAATCACTAAATCATACAGAAACAAAGTGCTGGGTTCGAGGTGGGAGAGGACACATCTGGGAAAGAGTCCTGGAGGAGGCAACATTTGAGTTTCACCTTGCAGGGTGTCAGTAGGTTTTCGGAGCCCAGGTGCCCAAGTCTCTTGGAGCACTGCAATTATGACCAAGGAGTGGGTTCCCCCTCCTTCCGGTCCCACCTCTTACCTAACCTCTGGCTACCCTCTACCCCAGGCAAGCGGAAATCTGGCAGCTGTGGAGGAAGCTGAGGCAGGAGGAGCCCCACCTGGCGGGCAACCTGGAGGGCTTTCTGGCCAAGATGACCAGTCGTCTGCAAGAGGTGCGGGCTGACAAGGAGGCTCTGGAGCTGACCCTGAGGAAGTAAGTGTGCGGGGTGAGAGCATGCGCAGAAAGTGCCCTCACCCGGTGTCTGGCACCTAATAGGTGCTCTTTACATTTTAGCTGAATCCAAGTGGAATTCCTCCAGCACAGCAGGGCCCGGGGGCTGGATGGGGCAGAGCTGAGCTGGAGGAAGAGGTCGTGCAGGGGGCCAGTCACACAACTGCCATATGTGCGGTGACCCTCGTGCATAGTGGTTAAGAGCTATGGCTGCTAATCAAAAGGTCAGCAGTTTGAATCCACCAGACCCTACCTGGAAACTCTAGGGGCAGTTCTACTCTGTTGTATAGGGTCACTATGAGTCAGAATCGACTCGATGGCAATGGGTTTGGTGTTTGGTGGTGACACCTGGAGTTGGCAAGGGTGCAGCCCTGCCTGGGGCTATGAGTTATGGGAGCAGGAGGATGGTGACAGAGGGAGGTGGGACAGAGTGATGGGGCAATGAGGACTATGTGACCGGGCCAGGGGGACCAATATCTTGGTGATGGTTACAGGAGTCAGTATGATGGGAACAGGGTAACCAATATCAAAGTCATATGGGACGGGATGACTCTTCTCAGGGTGACAGGGTCAGTGACCTCTGCCAGGGAGAGGTGAGAAGCAGAGTGGACTCCAAACCCAGGTCCAGACCATCCCTGCCAGCAGCAGGGCCGCAGAGGGGCGTATAGGCTGCCTGCCCCCGACCCCCACTCCACCACCTTTGACCCCTTCCAGGCGTGACTCTGAACACCACCACGAGGTCCAGGAGCTCTACGAGGAGATGGAACAGCAGATTCGCCGGGAGAAGCAGCAGCTGCAGGCTGAGGTGGGCTCCCTTCCAGCGGCTGCCCTTTGCCCCCTGCCCCTCACGCCCTGCCCAGGACTTCTCCGCTGGCTAAGTCATGGGGGCTGTGACTGGCCAGTGGGGGCAGCAGGAGGCTGCTGGGAGTGGGCCCTCTCACAGCCCTAACCAGTGTGTGTTCCCCAGAGAGATGGGGTGGCAAGTGCTGAGCCTGGGCCTCTTCCCATCTCTGTGGGGGTTCACTGTGCACCCTGCAGCCAGTCCTTACCTCTCTGGGCCTCAGTCTTCTGGTCTCCACAATCTAGGCTTGAGCCAGGGAGTCACCCTGAGAACTCTCCCTGTTGGGCCCTGTGCCCCAGGCCTGGGTAGAAGTGTGGGTGTGGAGAGGACCAGCCCAGCCGGCTGGGTCATGGAGCCTGCAGTGCAGGGGCTGAGTCCTCTCTGCTCCCCAGAGCGACTCCCGGGACCTGGCCCTCAGCTCGCAGATGCAAGAGGTCCTGGAGGCCAAGGAGCATGAGGTGCAGCAGCTGGCTAAGGGCCAGAGGGAGGTGAGCCAGAGGGCTTCCCTGGAAGCTCGATTTCTGAGTCACAAACTCTGACAGCCATCTTTGGACTTGCCATAAATGCTCTCTGATCTGGAGGCCTCTTTAGGCTGGTTGGGCTCCCATATGAGTATAAAACCCAACTTGTTGCCGTTGAGTCAATTCTGAATCATAGCCACCCTGTAAGCTAGAGTAGAACTGCCCCATAGGGTTTCCAAGGAGTGGCTGGTGGATTCAAACTGTCAACCTTTTTTTTTGGTTAGCAGCCAAGCTCTTAACCACTGTGTCGCCAGGGCTCCATATAAGTATAGCTCCGTGGTAAAAAGATGTCTTGGGCCCTTTTCTTAGATGAGGCTAGGTAGTGCTGTGGGAGCAATGGGACGTGAGTACAAATCCCTGCTGCTCCACTTAAGAGCCACGCAAACCTGAGGAAATCACTTTGCTTGTCCCAGCCTCAGTTTCTCCATCTGTAAAATGGGGATAATCGTATCTACTGCATCTCGCGGGCTTGTTATGTCAAATGAGGTAATACATGGGAAAGTACTTTGAGATAGGTGAGCAATGGACAAGCATGAGGTCTTGATATTGCATAGGCTTGGTGACAGGGTGACATTCAACTCTCGTCTCCATTGTCAGCTAAGTGACCTTGACAGGTTCTTAACCTCTGAGCCTCAGTTTCCTCCTAAGAGAAATGGGGGTCAGAACTCCATCTGGGAGTGTCGTGGTTTGCTGTTGGGTCAGGAGCCCTGTGTGGATCCCATGGAGGCTGGCTGATGAGCAGCCCTGGAGGGCCATGAGCAGAGGAGGGCGTGGTGCTGGCACTTTGTACTCCCTGTGCATTTCCTCTCTCCTCCCTACCCCAACAATTAACATGTCTCTCCTGGGTGGGAGGTAATGGGGCTAATTAGGCCAGCAGGGGTAACCACCCACCACCCTAAACCTATGTTTTAAGCTAGGTCTCCAGGAGCCTTTAAGTGGCGGGGGGAGGGGGAGGGGTCTAGGCCCCAGAGTGGCCTTGGAAGGCTTTTCCTTGACTGGAGGACAACTGGGCTTCTCTCCTCCTCACCCTCCACTCCCCACAGCTGGAGGCCCAGCTCCATCATCTCAGTAGCACCCACCAGGAGGCCAACTCAGAGAACCAGCAGCTTCGGGAGGCTGAGCAAGACCTGGCTGGGCGGCTGGAGGAGGTGCGGGAACAGCTGCAGGTGACCAGGGATCACCTGGAAGCTGCCAAGGGCCGAGTGTCATGGCAGGTGGAGGACGAGGAACCAAGGCAAGTGACTGCCAGGCCTGGGCTGCCGGGGTAGTGGTCAGGGACTTCCGGGAAGAGGGGAGGAAGGCTCTGAGTTCTCCAAGGCCCTGGTCAGCACCTAGTGCACACACACACAGTCTCCAGCCTTTAATTCTCTCAACAACCCTGTTGGGCTGGGATTATCATGCCCATTTCACAGATGAGGAAAGTGAGGCACAGAGAGGCATAAGTCACATGCCCAAGCCCACGTGATTGGGATATACACACAGGGCCTCATGGTGTGCTGCTTCCCTGGCAGGCACTTGCTCTACTTTTTATAGCTTGAAGAAGGGGGATGGGCCAGAATGGTCAGGGAAGGCTTCCTGGAGGCGGTGAGGCTTCATGTGGTCCTTGAAGCATGAGTAGGATTGGATGAGAGGGAGGGTGTGCCAGGTGAGAAGGACTGCCTGAGCAAACCTTGGGAGGGAGGACCAGGCGTGGGCGTGCAAAGGATGGTGAGAGATGCGAGATGCGGTAGGGTTAGTGTGACACCACCCCCTGCCTGCCCCTCCCCTAACCTTCTGCTCTCCTCATCCTTTCTAGTGCCCCCAGAGCAGTGGAAGAGAAGGCCCCAGCTCCCCAGGCCATCGCCCCTGAGGAAACATCCCTGCCCAGACTATTCGGGGACAGTGACAGCTGGGACCAGCTCCTGAGCTTTAGCAGCCCCCCACTCAGACCCCTGCAGTTCTCCTGGAGCCCGCCCCCTACTCCGAGAGGCCCGTCAGTCCCCCAGACCCCCCGTGTGATCAGGCAGATCTCCATTTCAGAGTCACACCCTCTGCCGTTTGATCAGGAGCCATCTTCGGAGCCAGATGGGGCTCCAAGGAGTCCGCCTGGGGTGACTTCCAGGGCCAAGAAAGGGACAGGAGGGGACCCAGATAGGCAGGACATCAGTTCAGAGCAGCCTGTGGAGCCTCCTGGCCTGGAAGCTAAGGACGAGCCAAGGCCTCACCCTGAGGCCCACTTCCGCTGGGATCTTCTGGGGGTCCCAGATGGGCAGTCAGGGGGCCTGGTGGCAGCCGCACTCGAAGTGCTCGCTCCTTTGGAAGATAGGTCCCCTCCTCAGGTGGAACCTCCTGCTCCCCAGGCCCCAGCTGGGTCCAGTAAATTGTTCCAGGCCATAGACCCAGATGACAAAGGCCCTGGGCCTGGACCTGCCCCAGTCAAACCGCTCAGGCAGAGAGAGGCCCTCCGTCAAGACCCACACACCACAGGCTCTGAGCCAGGGTTGGGGTCCCCAGGGGCTGGGACCCTGACACTGGGTCCAGCTGAGCCCTCCCAGGGTCTGGAGACTGTGGCTTCCACAGAGGGGCTGGAGCCAGGCAAGCCGGGCCCAGATGAGCAGGGGGGCCACCCTGGGAGACTAAGAGGGGCTCACATCCAGATCCTCAGGCCAGGTGGGCCGCCCACCCTCCACCACCAGAATCTGGAAGAGGAGTCCTGGGCTGAGGAAGGAAAACAAGAGGACCAAGGCGGGCAGGACATGGGTTCAGAGCAGTCAGTTGAGGCTCAGGGCCTGGAAGCTGAGCATTCAGAACACTCCCTGCAAGATGTTCTGCCTGCTACTCCCCCACACGGCCTACCCCAGCCTCAGGCTGAAGCAGAGGCCACTGCTCCTGGGAAACCATCAGCTCTAGGCAGCCCTTTCCCCATGGGGGCTCAGCCTGATGATGGAGCAGGGCCCCAGGAGCCCACACAAACCCTCCCTATCACAGCTGAGCTGGAAGCCCAATCCAGGCCCCCACCCACAGCTGCTCAAGCTGAAGGAGAGCAAGGCGCCCCTCAATCCAGGGAGCCAAGGGCAGAGAGCAGGCCTGAAGACCCAGGAACAGACTCTCGGGAGGCTGGGCGGTCCCCATTCCCAGGGGACCTCCCGGCCAACGAGCCTCCGGCTGACCCTGATTACATCTTCCATGTCATCTTCCTGGGGGACTCGAATGTGGGTAAAACCTCCTTCCTGTACCTGCTGCACCAAAACTCCTTCGCCACTGCGCTGACAGCTACCGTGGGTAAGGGCCCAGCCTGGGGAGGGTGGCAGGGAGGCAGGGGAGACCCAGGGGCCCAGGCCAATGAGCCAGAGCAGGCTGAAAGCAAGCCATCTCTGGGGATGCTGCAGATTTTGCCCTGGCACCACATTAGACATTATTTTATATGGGCATGATCTTACTATTTTACTAATCCTCTCTAATTACAGGGAATTTGCTTTTTCTACACTGATCTGATTAACTTATAATGTGCCACATCAACAAAGCACCCTGCAATTTAGGGGCCAGCGCTGGTTGATGGTGAAAGCAAGCAAGTCTCCACACTCGTGGCCCATGGGCAGGCTGCTGCAGGGCCCATAGTGGCTGAATTTGCTCATGTCTGGCTCCAGGCCAGTCACCATGCTCTGGCAGGAAGTCACCTTGGGCAAGTTGAATATTTTACACAGAATGCATTTGGAAAGTGAGGAACCCAGGTGCCTGAGTTCAAATCCCAGCTCTGCCACTTACTAGCAGTATCACCTTGGGCAAATTATTTAATCTCTCTGAGCTCTAAATCCTCATCTGAATAATGGGGGCAGCAATAGTGCTGACTGCCTAAAATTCTAGAGTCAGGATTAGTTAAAACATAGCAGGCACTTAGAATAATGTCTAGCACCTAGTAAGAGCTCAGTAAATATTAGTTATTATTATTATTATAAGCAAATGTTTGATAATGTCTAATTCAGTGACTCCTGCAAATGAAATGTCTGAAAGCATGAAGCCTCCCCTCCCTAAAAATATCAGGATCTATGGCCACTCCCTGGATGGTGCACACAGTTAACGTGCTTGGCTGCTAATGAAAGGTTGGCGGTTCAAGTCCACCCAGATGCACCTTGGAAGAAAGTCCTGGTGATCTATTTCTGAAAAATCAGCCATTGAACACCCTATGGAGGACAGTTCCACTCTGACATACATGGGGTCGCCTTGAGTGGGAATTAACTCAGTGGAACTGGTGTGTTTTCTCAATGGCCACATTGTATAGAGCTACAGAAAAGTCAGCTGGTGGGAATGAAGGGGGAGCCCATTGAGGGCCAAAGATGGAGGGGTCCACGTCTTTGTGTCAGCCAGGGCACGTGCTGACTGGGGACCAGTGCCAGGCCAGTGGGTAGATGACAGCCCTTGCACAAGAGGGACCCAGCACAGGTTCTCAAACTGTGCTCTAAGAATCCTCATCTGGGGTGAGTGTTAAAAATGCAGCGCCTCAGGGAGGGGGAGCCCTTACTAGGCCTGGCCTGATGGTGAGCAGAGTCACAGTATCTGCAGGGCCACCATTATCAATCATCTTAGCTACTATTTTGGAGCCCTGGTAAGGCAGTGGTTGAGAGCTCGGCTGCTAACCAAAAGGTCAGCAGTTCGAATCCACCAGCTGCTCTTTGGAAACCCTATGGAGCAGTTCTACTCCGTCCTATAGGGTCGCTATGAGTTGGAATCAACTTGACAGCAATGGTTTTTTTTTTTTTAGCTACTGTTTACTGAACGCCTACAATGTACCAGGCGTCTTATCTACATGTCTTATTTCTTACAACAACCCTCCTTATAATTGAGCTGTCCCGTTATTATGTGGTAAGACAGCTCTACAACATTTAATCAAGGGAAAAAAAATTGTCTAATTGAAAAAAAACAAAAAACAAAAAAACAGGGCAAGGTTGCATGCACTGCTGTCCAGCTGGGAGAACCTGAGATCCAGGTACAGAATACAAATCTGTCCTAATCCCAGCTATGGTTTGGCACCACTGGGGACTATTCTGGCTTCACCAGTTGTGAATATCTCCCCACCCTGTCACCCGCTCTCCATCCATTCCCACTTTGCTCAGAAGATAAGAATCATATCCTGCCTGCATTTGAGAACAGGGCCAGCTGGAAGACCAGAGCCGATTGAGTTACATCCAAATGTGCATTTTTGTGAGATTTTTCCATATCTACCATTTTACATATAAGGAAATTGATTTGAAGACCTGGTTACGTTTCTTGCCCTGGCCGGGCCCCACAGCTGGAGCTCATACCCAGGGCCACCCTTCAAAGCTCATGCCCACACACCGGAAGTTTTAGCATAGCCCTGTCTCTGGGGCTGTTTTTTTAAAATAGTAGAGTCCCTGAGAAGGAGAGAACATCATATCCCTAACAGATTATATGGTTAAGTTGTAACTTGTTTTTAAGGAAGGTGCAAGGACATATGGGTGGATTAAAGAAGGGGATGGGCAAAAACCAAAAACCAAACCTGTTGCCATCAAGTCGGCCCTGACTCATGGCGACTCCATGTGTTAGAGTAGAACTGCTTCATAGGGTTTTTTGGGCTGTAATCTTTATGGAAGTAGATCACCAGGCCTTTCTTCCATGGCACCACTTGGTGGATCCAAACTGCCAACCTTGAGGTTAGCAGCCAATGGCAAACTGCTTGCACCACCCAGAAAACGTTATACCCCTAACAGTTTATGTGGTTTTTGTAACATGATTTGGGGGAGTGTGGGGACACATGGGTGAATTGAAGAAGGGGATGAGCAGAGAGGTGGAAAAGTAGGGATGGTGAGAGAGTTATTGAATCCAAGGAGGAATTGTTAGTGTTATTCAATAGAGACAGTGAGCTGTCTATCACTTTGGGTATTTGGGCAGAGGCTAGATATCATTGCAAGGGGATTGGATTAGATAACCTCAAGAGACCCTAGGCCTCCTAAGACCTTCAGGAAAGAGGGCATCAAAGAGAAGCAGATGCTAAAGACAGACTTCCTCTGCTTCATCATTTTGCTAAGGAGCTGCCACTTTTCCCAGCCTCCTTGGAGAGCATGGAGGGGGGAGGGCCTATGGTCTCAGCCACCACCAGGGGGCAGCAGGAGGTGCTGCTGGGGGTCGCTATGGAGTCTGCCATTGCCAATATGAGGAGGCATCTTTCCTGAGCTGGCCTGCGGCCTGTGTGCGCTCTTCAGCCTCCTCCGGGCTCCTTTGGAAAGGTAATGGGGAATGGGAACAGAGCAGCCCTTCCCCATCACTCCCTCAACCCTAGCCAGGTTTCCTCACTGTTCTCGAAAATTCCAAACCTGCCTGGGATTTCACTATTACCTATGTATTTCCCAGGACAGAAAAGGTCTGGAAGCATGAGCACAGGAAAGGATGGGGCTATGAAATTTGGGGGACTAGGGTTCAGGGAAATGAGAATTAATAATAATAATTACCAATTTTTAATAATAAAATTTTAATTATTTATCAGTTTTAATTGATAAATTTTTTGGTGATTGATAAAGTTTTTTGATAATTGATAAATTTTTTAATTGTCATTTTAATAATAAAATTATTTAAAATAATAAAAAGTACCACCTCTCAAGTACCCATTGGAAACCAGGTTGAACCTTTGATGTAAGTCTCTCACTGAATTCTCCCAATTACTCTGCAGTGCAGATCTTTTTAAATTACCACCTTACAGATGAGGAAATGGAGGCTCAGAGAGGTGAACTGACTTGCCCGAGGTCACACAGCCTATACAGAGCAGAAGGTGGACGACTTACAGCAGGAGGAGTCCTCCCTGAAGCCAGTGCTCCTTCGGCGCTCCTGTCTACACTACTGTCTAGTTGAAGGGAGAAGATGTATACGGCAATTAGGAAATAAAACAAGGAGTATTATAAAAATAAAATAATGAGACTAGTTTTCCCGCTGGCCTGAGGAATAAATTTTGCCGTGCAGTTGGGAAGACAGTTATGTTCATAGAGATAAATATAACACAAAGTGCCTTGTACTGATGTTGGTACCGACTGTCAGGGTGTGGGAGTGCAGCAGGGCAGGCAGTGAACCCTGTGGGCTTGGTGGTCAGGGAAGCCTTCTCGGAGGAAGTGGGTCTTGGAGTATGGATGGGACTTGGAGAGGGGAGAGGAAGCCCACCAGCTGAAGGCTCTACTGCACTGTGGCTGGTGTTGGGGATGGGCATATATCTAGCCATGTTTTCGCTAGAGATGTCCTGGGTGGTGCAAATGGTTAATGCACTCAGCTGCTAACCAAAAGGCTGCAGGTTTGAGTCCACCCAGAGGCTCCTGGTAAGAAAGGGCTGGCAGTCTACTTTCAGAAGATCGGCCATTGAAAACCTTATGGTGCATAGTTCTACTCTGACACGCATGAGGTTGCCATGAGTCAGAGTCAACTCGACATAACTGGTTTGGTTTTGACTGAAAATCCTGGATGGTTACTTGAAAGTGCGCCTTACCCCTTCTCTGTGTGTCCTAGGAGTGGATTTTCGGGTCAAAAGCCTGCTGGTGGACAACAAGCACTTTGCGCTGCAGCTCTGGGACACAGCTGGCCAGGAGAGGTAATGGGCACTGTGGACAGGCTCCACCATCAGTGGTGTCAGGGACCAGGGATGAGCCTGGGGGCGCCGAGGGGCCGAGGGCAATCCCGACTTCGAGGAGTTCAACATGAGCAGGAGGCTACCAAGTGCCAATGAGGCGTCAGCCCCCTAAGGGCTCAAGATGTCAGGGAAGGATGTCAGGGAAGGAGAGATGAGTCAAGCCCAAGTGGGGGACAGGGCAGCAGGCACAGACCCCCCTCCCCAGCCTGGCAGTGCACAGGTTAGGGCTGTCCCAGTTGCCTGTCCTGAAAACACTGGTCTTCCACTTTCCAGCTAAGCGGTGCTGATCGAAATTAAAAGGCACATATTCTTTGACCTAACAGTTCTACTTCTAGAAATCCATCCTACAGATACACTTATACGTGACGATAATAACACAGGGACCAAGACCATTCATAGCAATATCATGCATATTATGAAACATTGGGAACAACCGAAATGTCCATCAGCAGGGGACCAGCAAAATAAATGAAGGTCTATCCATACAATGGAACATGATGAAGCCCCAAAAAAAGACTGGGGACTCTTTTTATGTGCCAACAGGGATATATCTCCAAGACATTTTGTTAACTGGAAAAAACCAAGTGCAGGAAACTGAATATTAATGAAGGCAGTGAACGTTTTACACTGTATTTGTGTAAAACAGAAAAGAGAACATCTATGTGTGTATATGTATGTGTGTGTATACACACACACACACACACACACACATAAATAAACATAAAATACATCTGGAAAGATATTTAAGTAACCAGTAACCCTGGTTGCCTCTGAGAAAGGGGACTGGGTGGCTGCAGAAAACGGGAGAGGGAGACCTTTCACTGGGTGCCCTTTGGTACCTTTTGAAATTTGAGCTGTGAGAACATTACCTGGTCAACAATAAATAGCTAGACTGTACAAAGGAAATCATATGCAGGCTCTCTTTGGGAAGCAATCAGAGGGAGGGCAGGTTAATTCTCCCCGCTTTGCAGATGAAGTAGCTGTGGCTAGAGAGACCAGGGCCTGGGATCAGGCCACCTGGCGGGGCCTCATGCGGACTCTATGGGCAGGTACCACAGTATAACGCGGCAGCTACTCCGCAAGGCTGATGGGGTGGTGCTCATGTACGACGTCACCAACTATGAGAGCTTCGCCCATGTGCGCTACTGGCTGGACTGTCTCCAGGTAAGCAGATGGCTGTCAGGGGTGGCCCAGTTTTTGTAGTCAGGAGGAAGCTTGTATCTTGCCCGCTCTGCCTTTTTTTCCCAGAATTACAAATGGCACAAAGACATATGGGTGACACCACCTACTGAGGGCATGTGGCTGGATGAACTGAGCACGTTAGTGCAAAGAAACCACAGCCACACAGTACAGTCCCCAAACCAAACTACTTCGTTTGTCCTACGAACATTTCTTTCCTACACTCAGCCATCCTATACCTGTTTGTGGTATCTTCTTCTTAACATCTGGTACTAATGCAATTCTAGTGCCATTGTAGGTGATAAACTCATCTGTTCATACATCCCTAGTTCTTTCCCCTATGTATTTAATTGATACATATATACTGAAATTCTGCAGTATATGCTAGCACACCAGAGGGATATGAAGCAAGACATGTTGTCTTCTCTCCAGAAGTTCCTAGTCTAGTTGAAGAGATGCAAAGAAAGCAGGATAAGGTAATGAATGAGGAGAGGAATTGAGCTCTGAGATATGACAGGACCTGGGTTTGATTCCCAGCTACCCAGCCTACTAACTCAGTGACCTTAGACAGGTGACTTAACCTCTCTGAACTTCAATCTTCCTACTTCTTTCATAAGGGAGTTGTAAGGATTAACTGATATGATTGCTTTCAGCACAGTACCTGATGTGTAGCAAGCACTCAGTTAACAGAAGCTGTTATTATTATTATACACGAAACAATTAGGAAATGAGCCAAGGCATTCTGAGTAATCAAGTACTGTTTATTCAGCACAAACAGGAAGAGAGGGACATGGGCAGGAGCCATCCATGAAGGCTTCCTGGGGGAGATGCCTTTGAGGCTGGCTTTGGAAAGTGGGTAAGGTGTTTGCAGGCAGAGAGAAGCAGATTCACTGTAAATAGGGAAGCTGGTGAGGTGGGAAGGGTGTGGAGGGGTGGGGCAGGAAGAGGCAGCCACCTAACCCTGGGCACACATCAGGGAGGGGACACCTTCTCAGTTCCCAGGAAGGCAGGGCCAAATCTGTCCCAGGGCTGGCATACAGTAAGTGCTCAACACCTGTGGCTGAGAGAATGTGTTTGTGTGTGCAGGACGCAGGGTCTGACAAGGTGGTCATCCTTCTCCTGGGAAACAAGATGGACTGTGAGGAGGAACGGCAGGTGCCCACTGAGGTCGGGCGGCAACTGGCCAAGGTGAGCTCCTGGGCGTCGGCCCTTCTCCCAGCCTGCACTGGGCGGGCACTGCCCTGGAGGGTCTCCCTGGCCTGGGCAACTGAGAAGGAACATTCTGCCTGTTACTGCCTCTGTCCCAGCCAAAGGCCAGGTCAGAGCAGATAGCAGCCTGGCTACCTCTGCCCCTACCCACCCAAGTCTCTGGAGACCAGCCTTGACCCAAATACAAGGCTGTAATAGCGGGCATGACATTAAACCTCCGTCGAATCAGCAAATTCCCACACAATGTCCCAACCTACGTAAAAAATATCTTCAGAGTAAAAGAGTTTTAAAAGCTCCACTTAAAATTCCCAATCAATCTTAATTTTATCTCTGGTCTCTAATTAAAATTCTTCCTTCTAATTTATTCTATCTTAAGACTCAAATTCTTGCCTGGGAAGATGACATCAAAAGCCCCATCACCAGACAGTGGATACTATTTAATTATGAATAGAATTTAACCACATTCCAGAAAATCTGGAGAATAGTAAAAAAAAAAAAAAAAAAAACCCCTCCTCGTTCCACCTCTGACATGACCCTTCTTAATTAATATTTCCATATTGTATTTTCTTCCTCTTACTATTCTCAATTCTCAGAATCATAAGGTCATCATTGTGGTTCCTGGTTTGTGGGAATTTTTTCCTTTTAAAAGTAGTAGGTCACCCCTTTGACACAGTAACGCCTCCTCTAGCAATTTATCCTCAGGAAAGAATCAGAAATAATAATCCCTAAGGGAATAACAGAGGCGCCCTGGTGGTGCAGTGGTTAAGTGCTCGCCTGCTAACCGGAAAATTGGCGGTTCAAACCCACCAACTGCTCTGCAGGAGAAAGATGTGGCACAGTCTGCTTCCATGAAGATTACAGCCTTGGAAGCCCTATGGGGGCAGTTCTACTCTGTCCTACAAGGTTCCTATGAGTCGGGATCAACTGGACAGCAGTGGGTTTGGTTTTTGTTTTGAAGGGAATCACATAATGGATACCCGTATAATATATAATCAAACATGTTTATATGAGGATGTTCTTTACAGTGTTATTTATAAGAACGAACATTTGGCTGAAGTTGGTGGTTAAACTGTGGCATGTTCACATGAGAAGTTAGTTATTTTCTGTTCAGAATTCTGTCCTGGAAGAATGTTTAAGGGTGTGGGAGAAATGCTTACAATAAAATGAGAAGTCAGAAAAGCCAGCTGCAAATCTGGATATAGGTTAGGTTGAACCATATGGAATTGCTGATATATGATCGTTTCAGGCTTACCCAAACAGCGATTTCATATGGTTTCACCTAACAGTAGGGTGGGAGTGTAGCTCAATGGTAGAGCATGTGCTTTGCATGTACGAGGCAGAAGGTTTGACTCCTGGTACATCCAGCTCTTATCTGGAGTCCCTGAGTAGGGCAAACTGTTTATACACTCGGCTGCTAATCAAAAGGTTCAAGTTTCAGGTCCACCTAGAGGTGCCTCAGAAGAAAAGCCTAGCATTCTACTTTCAAAAAAACCAGCCATTGAAAACTGGTGGAGCACAGTTTTACTTTGACCCGCATGGGGTGGCCACGAGTCACAATGATGGCAACTGGTAACCTAATAATAGCATGATGACATTTATCCTATTTTCTCCAAGCAAAAGGGTTATATAAAACAGAATGGAAATACATATACCCAAATGCTAATAGGAGTGGCTTACATTTTGTTCTTATACTTTTCTATACTATTTTTCCAGAATTTCCCCCAATGAAACATTTTTGAAACCAGAAAACATAATTAATGGTTATAAAATGTCCGCAAAATCTTCAAGTTGGAACTCAGAAGACTGAGGAATATTTCTAGTGTGGCATCCTCGACACCTCGGCCAGCCCAGATGGAGGGGAGTAGGCACAAGGGCCCAGCTGGGGACCACGGGCCACACCGAGACAGGGCTTAAGAAAGTATTAGGCAGGACTCTGTTGGATGGCCAGGCTTTTGGCCCAGGAGGCTGCCATCTGGCTTCTCAGAGGTCCGTCTCCTCAAGGCACCCATGCCCTTGTCTGTCTGGCCTGCAGGAGCTGGGAGTCTCATTTGGGGAGTGCAGCGCTGCTCTGGGTCACAACATCCTGGAGCCTGTGGTAAACTTGGCCCGGTGAGTGTCGCCTCACCCTTTCCACCCAGAATCCTTTGGGGCAGCCTTCAGCCCAGACTCACCGGAGGGAAGGCTCATTCTGAGGAAGCGGGTCAAGAAACACGTAGTTAGATAACAGGGCTCACCAGTCTGGACAAATGCAGCGAACACTGCACTGAGAGTCTCCTGACTTCAGTTCCAGCATTCTCATTAGCTGTATCCCTTCCAGGGAGGCTACTTCCCCTCTCTGAGCCTCAGTTTTCTCATCTGTAAAGTGGAGCTGGGAGAGGAAGTGTCACTCTCCTGCTGTCAACCTTCTGGTGACTTCCACGGAATTTAGAATAAAACGCAAATACCTCCTGATGGCCTGCGTCATCTCCAGTGCTGTCTCCCCTTCCTCTCCCCGCCCACACTCACACACACACACACACACACACACACACACACACACTGCCACTCACCAAGCTCCAGTCTCGATGGCCACCCTTCAGTTCCTCTCACAAGATTTCCTGCCTCAGGGCCTTTGCTCCTGCTCTTTCTTCTGCCAAGAATATCCCCTCCCCCCACATAATTGGCTCCTTCTCATCTTTCAGAAAGGAGCCCTGGTGGCACAATGGTTAAGTGCTTGGCTGCTAACTGAAAGGTTGGCAGTTTGAACCCACCAGCCATTCTTTGGGAGAAAGACGTGGTAGCCTGCTTCTGTAAAGATTTACAGCCTTGGAAACCCTATGGGACAGTTCTTCTCTGTCCTGTAGGGTTGTATGATGGCAGAAAACAATAACATCTTTCAGATTTCATTTCAGAGAGGCCCCTTCTGACCATTGCCCCCATTGCTGTTCTCCAGCACAGCCCTCTCTTTGTGCCTTTCATAGCCTTCTCAACAAATTGTAATTATATGTGCATTTGTCTGGTTTTTTGTTTATCTGCCTCTCACACTAGGTGGCAGTTCTGGAAGGGCAAGGCCATGTCTGTTTTGTTCACTCCCCCCACCCTCCACCCCATACTCAGGGCTTGCCACATAGTAGGTGCTCAATAGATGAATGAAATGAGTAAGGGTGCGGGTGTTAGACCAGATGAGCTCTAAGGCTCCGTCTCTGATAAAGTAGTCAGAGTGAGCTTGCTAGACTGCAAACCTGGGCACACCTCCTGGCCAAAACTGCTCAATGACTTCCCTTTACTTTAGGATAAAAGCCCAAGTTTCTGAATGTGACTTCTGAGGCCCACAGAGCCCTGGGCCCCTGCTGCTTCTAAGGCTTCTCTCTGACCATTAAGCCCTTAGGCTCTGTGGCCTAGCATAGTGCCTGGCACACAGTAAATACATAGTGAATGAATGAATGAATGGACTTCTTTTACTACCCCAACCCCCGAGCTCTCTTTTGACACCAAGCCTTTGCCCTCTGCCTGCAATGAACCTCCCTTTCTGCCAGCAAACCCTCATCCACCCCTCAGCCCACCTCCTTCCTCCCTGGGAAGGCCCTCTGTGTGCTTCCCCAATCTATCATTCATTCCTAGGGTACAATTGCCCCCTTTCCTACCCGTCACCCTCACTACTCAAGGCAGGGATGTATTGGCATCTTTGTCATATCAGAGTCCCTGGCACAGTAGCTGGCACACAGTAGGCCTGAAAGAGTGCCAGCAAAGAGACAGAAGACCAATGTCCCATTTTCCTGGTGCCGTGGGAATGCAGGGCAGGGGCAAAGCAAGTGGGAGGGGTTAGCTTGAGGGAGCAGTCCCCTAGCCTCCCAGGTGCACATAGGAAGTCTCCTGCCTGCCCCTCTATGCTGCCCCTGGGAGGTGAGAGGGAGGACTGAGGCCTAGTCGTTGCCATGCAGGTCACTCAAGATGCAAGAAGACCTCCTGAGGTGCTCACTGGTGGAGGTGGTCCCCAAGAAGTCTCCAAAGAGAACTGGCTGCTGCTCCTGACCGCCTGGGCTGTCCAGGGTAGGACGGCCACCCCCCGGGTTTCTTGTCCCTCAGCTCCTGTACTGCCTGCCTGGCCACAGGTGGGGCAGAGAGGACCAGCTGGGAAGTTCAGAAAAATCCTCGTCAACTCATGACCCAGATGCCAGGGTGGGGCCCTTTGCCCTCTAAAGAAGGACTTTCCTGGGTAAACAAGGCTGGGGGTGTGGGGTGGGGGAGGACGTTTAAAACCCTTTAAAGAAAGGAAAAGTCTAGAAAAACAGACTTAAGGGAAATACACCAAAATATTGGCTACACATCTCTGGGTGGTAAAATTACAGGGTGAATTGTGGGGGTGTTATTTTCCTTTTTATGCATATTTGTATTTTCAGATTTTCTACAATGGCTGGGTATTGCCTCTATAATCAGGAAAAAAAAAATGTTGAGGGGGAGGAAAAAATTTCAAATGAGCTTGCTTTGGTGCTGACATATAATGTAGTCTGTGGTTATGGATTGAAATTGTGTCCCCCCAAAATATGTGATATAAATCCTAACCCCTATGCCTGTGGTTATGGTCCCATTTGGGAATGAGTTTTCTGTTATGTTAATGGGGCAGGATTCATGTAGGGTGTGTCTCGAGTTAATCTCTTACAAGAAATAAAAAGAGCAGATTAGGCAAGCGGGGATGGAAGAAGAGAGATGTCAAGCCACATGAAGATTGCCCAGGAGCAGAAGCCCAGAAGAGACATGCACCTTCCTCCAGAGCTGACAGAGAGACAAAGCCTTCCCCTAGAGCTGGCACCCTGAATTCAGACCTCTAGCCTCCTAACCTACGAGAAAATAAATTTCTGTTTGTTCAAGCCACCCACTTGAGGTATTTCTGTTATAGCAGCAGTAGGTAACTGCGATACCTGTGAACTACGAATTGCTCTGTTTGTTAAAGCAATCCCTCTGTTCTGTGCCTGGCTGTTGTTAGCTGCTGTGGAGTCAGCCCCCAACTCATGGCAACGGCTGCAAAAGCAAAAGAAATGATGCCCAGCCCCGCACCATCCCCTTGATCAGTTGAGGATCAAACTGTTGTGATCCATACTGTTTCTATTAGCGGATTTTTGGAAGCAGACCACCAGCTATGCTGAAACCTGTCCAGCATCATAGCAACATGCAAGCCTCCACTGACAGATGGGTGGAGGCTGTGCATGAGGTGCATTGGCCAAGAACCAAACCTGGGTCTCCCACATGGAAGACAAGAATCCCACCACTGAACCATCTCTGCCCCCTTTGTGCCTGGCAGAATGGTGTTAACCTTGTTTCATGAAGTGTATTTATTTGCAAGTGTGGGGTTTCTTCCGAGGAGAATCCAGTCCTAGGGGAAGGGCTATGTTCTGATGTGTTCTGATGTCCTTCTGCATCCCTGAGCCCCAACCCCACTGCCTTTCCCCATGATCCACCTCTAAGGGCCCACATTCAGGGACAACCCTGATGCCAGTGTCCCCTGGTGCAGCCCTTTGCCCTGAGGTGTCAGCCTCTGGATCTATGTGGGGTATAGCTGGGGTGTGGCTGGCAGGGCCTGGGGAGCAGCCAAGGAAACTGGAGTCAGAATCGCTCACAGACTCCAGTTTGAAGCTTTTGCAGGAGTTCCTGGAACATTGCCCAACATTCACCTCCTAAAGCTTTGCTGCACGTTATAATCCAGGGCTGAGGTTTCCAGTGCCCTCACCGGGCTTGCTTTGGGAGCCTTCGGCAGACTGCCCCTCAGGGTTGAACTGTCTCCCATCATTTGTGTTTGCTGCAAATGTTGTTTTTCATAACTTACCATCAACCACATAATGCTCACCACGCACTGAGTGTCTGCTGCGTGCCGGCGCTGAGTTTGGTTCTTGCTAATCACTTGCATGCTGATGAATTCCCCGGCTGAATCAGAGGAAAACCCAGCTTCATAGTGAGACAAGCGAAGGCAGTCCAAGAGACAGAGTTGCAGAGAGAGAGAATCACGGGGAAAAAGGGAGAGCAGGGGAGAGAGGACAGAGCCTTGTTTCTTCCTGTTTAATCACAGTCTCTGCAGCTCCTGGCCCCATCTCTCTTCTCAATTCTAAAAGGGATACCGCAGTAGCAAGTAGCAGTGAGCTTTCTGTCACTTAGAGTTACACAAGCAGAAGCCAGGTGACACTTGGCAAGAGGTAGGATAGAAAGGATTCAGGCATCAGAAGCCACAAAGAGTTGGCTTAACAGGCCCCGTTTAACCTCCAGACTATTTGTGAGATGATTCCCACTAACCAGCCCGCTCTCTTCCTGAGCCCCTCACTGATTCTTTCTCACCCCAATGTCTTCTCCATTGCCCGACCTATCCCACAAGCCTCCCCTGCGCCAAGCAGTTTCTAGACTGTAGTGTGTAGAGAGACAGAGAGAGGGAGAGAGATGTGTGCTGCCGTGAGTGATGCCCAGCTCTGGGCCAGGGTGGAGGCGGGTCCTGCTGTTGCCAATGGCTCTCTCTCTGAGGTCCAGGAGGCCAGGCAGGCATCAACATCTCTGTCTGTGGGCCAGGGCGTTAATGAGGCAGGTAGGTAGGGCATGAATCCTGGGGGAACCAGTGGGGCGGACAGAGCCCCTGTCCTTTGGGGGACCCAGAGTGAGAGTGGCCCCCTGGGCTGCTGCTCGCATCTCAGCTCTGCTCCGGCCTCCAGGCAGCCAGCTCAGGTTCCCTAGAAGCAGGGTTCTGGAAGAGACTGCACACTGCCCAGACCCTCTCTTAGCCTCCTCTGGCTAGATTCACCTTCTCTGCAGAGCACAGCTGTGGAGGGGCCACCAGCCTGTTTCCCAGCATCAAGGGGCTCCTAAGTCAGCAAACAGGGCCCAAGAACCTTAAAAAAGCATGAGGCTGGTGAGGACAGCAGCAGGCAGGACTCAAGGTAGACTGCAAAGTGAACTTCCAGACAAGGGGTGAGTTCTGAGGGCATGTCAGCTAAGAAGCTCTGATCACAACTTAGCTTGAGGCTAATTAAGAAAAGGAGAGTGGCACTGGGTTGATAGGTCTCAGGTATGGAGTGAATGTGGGAGAAAAAGGGGATGGAAACTCGGTCAGGATCCCACTGGTCTGTCTTGTTTGCTACTGTATTCGCAGTGCCTGGTCCAATGTAAACCACTCAGGAAACAGTTACTGAGCTAATAACCAAACCTCTAAGCTGGCTGCCTCTCCCCATCTTAAGCTGGGAGTGGTGGCCTGGTCCACAGGGTAGCAGAAGGCTGACGCTACCCCGGGGCTGAGTCTGGGATGCCTAGTCCCCGTCTCCCAGCTTGAGTTCTCTCAATCAGGGGCTTAGCATGTGGGACGGAATGGGGGTGAGGGCTTCCCCCAAATCCTACCAAGTAACCAGCACAACACAACTCGCAGACAAGTGGTGAGTTCTCAGGGCATGTCAGCTAAGGGGCAGTGCTTCTTGAGCTGGTCTGCGTATTAGAATCATCTACGGATCTTGAAAAAACTGCCAAAGCCCAGACCAGTTAAATCACATCTTGGGAGGGGGGAACCCAGACATCAGTGTTTTTTCAAGCCCCCCAGGTGACCCCAATGTATGAGACTTTATACCTTCTCAAAGCCTTTTCACATCCACTTTTTCATTTGAGTCTCAAATCTGCCTGTGAAACAGGTAGGACAGGATTTTGTTTTAAAATATACATAGCATTTATTTACCAGATTATAACAGCACTCACTATAATTTTTAATCTATTTATCAGATTATAAAATTTAAAAATTATAAGAAAATGAAAATTACCTGAATCTCACCCCTTAGGGATAATTACTGTTGACACCTGTTTTATTTCCTCACTTCCTTACAGTGAGGGAACTGAGGTAGGGAAACATTAAGCAAATTTCCCAAGGTCACAGTGCTACTAAATAGCAGAGTTGGGATTTGAACCCAGGTGGTCTCCAGAGCCCATTGTATCAAGCTGTTGTGAGGTCTAAAGGGGCTACTATGTGCACACATCTGGGCCCACTGTAAGCAGAGCTCTGTGAAAGGTTGTTGTTAGTGACATCGAGTTGATTTCAACTCATAGTGACCGCATGTGACAGAGTAGAACTGCCCATAGGGTTTTTCTGGCTGTAATCTTTACGAGAGCAAATCACCAAGTCTTTCTCCCTCGGAGCTGCTGGGTGGGTTCAAACTGCCAACCTTTCGGTTAGTAGCAGAGCGCTTAAGCATTGTGCCACTAAGGCTTTCTATTCTGTGAAATGAGGGGGGCTCCTATGGGCAAAAAAAAGGTCCCTGAGTGGCACAAATGATTTGTATTCAACAATTGGAATCGACCCACTGGCACCACGGAAAAAAGTCCTGGTGATCTACTTCCATAATGATTACAACCAAGAAAACCCTATGGAGCTCAGTTCTACCCTGTAACACATTGAGTCACCATGAGTCAGAATCGACTTGACGGCAACAGGTTGGCTTTGTTTTCATATGGCACTTGAGCTGGTTTCTGTGCTGTCCTGTGTGTCCGAAGCAGGAGAACGGAGTCTGGGCTGGAGCACAACACCACGTTCACCACCATGCTCACAGCCACGCCTGAACAGCTGCTCCGCCTTGTCTTTGCTGGAATCTGTGGCCTCATTCTGCTGGTGGGGCTGCTGGCCAACAGGCTCATGCTGCTGGTGTTGGGCCAGGGCCCAGGCGCCCCCTGCCCGCTCCTCACCCTGACCAACAGCCTCATGGTGAACATCACACTGTCTGACCTGCTCTTCCTGGCCTGCAGGGTGCCCATGCTGCTGCTGAGCTTCCTGCAGCATGACTGATGGCTAGGCCCTGCCGTCTGCACCACCAGCCAGGCTGTCAGCATGGCCACCATGTTCTGCACCCTCTACAGCATGGTGGCCATGGCTCTCCTGCACCACGTGGCTGTGGCCTGGCCTGACGTGGCCCTTCTGGCTGGCTGGGGCCCCCGGCTGCTGCTCTGTTGGGGCCATGTGGGTCCTGGGCATCACTGCATCGCTGCCCAACTGGCTGTTCCAGAGAGTGGTAGTGAAGGAGGCAGCAGCGGGGGCCCCTGAAGACTGGGCCTGACTCTTGCTCCTGAGCCCTGCTCGGACCTCCTGCTATTTCACTCTGCTGGGAGCCCTGGCCTTCTTGCCCTGTGTGCTGGGGCTGGGCTGCTCTTTCAGCCACGTGGGCTGGCTCCTGTGGGCACAGCCCCGCAGCCCTGTCAGGGAGAACGTCTGGGAGCACCAAGAGAACACGTGGCTCATCCTCGTGGTGCTGGTGGGCTTCGTGCTGATGTGGGGGCCCTGCTCCGCGCTGGGCTATGTGGCGGCTGTGTGCGGCCTGCCTGCCCACACCGGTGGCTTTCGTGGCCTCCAGCCTCTGCATCATCTTGGCCTACTCCAATTGTGCTGTCAGCCCCATCCTCTGCTTTTACCTCTCTCGCCCTTTCCAGGAAGGACTCCAGAAACTCTTCTTCAGGCCACTGGCAGCCAGGCATCACCGGGGCGAGGAAGGGGTTGCTGTGGTGATGGAAAGTGGCCGGCCTGCCCATGACAGGGTCCCAGGAGGCCTATGGGGTCTGGCAGGGGTCTGAGAGGATAGGCTGACTGGAGGGCTGAGACTCCAGGGAGATAGTATTATTAAGACGCTTAATGATATTAGATCCCACCCCCTTCATATTACCAGTGGGAAGACTGAGAAACAGAAAGGGCAGGTGGCCCAGGAAATGTCACACAGCAACTTAATGGCTCAACTAGAACACGTGTCTTTAGATAACTAGACCAGCCTTCTCACACCATCTTAAGGCTCAGATACCTATATGCTCCACTACTTTCTAGGTAAGGAGCCCTTGTGGTACAATGGTTAACTGCTCAGCTGCTAACTGAAAGGTTGGCAGTTCAAATCCACCCAGCGGCTCCACTGGAGAAAAACCTGGTGATCTGCTCCCATAAAGATTACAGCCTAGGAAGCCCTACAGGGCAGTTCTACTCTGTCATATAGGGTTGCTATGAGTCGGAATTGACTTGACGGCACACAAGAACTTTCTGGTCGTGTGACAGTGGCCAAGTTCCTTAACCTCTCTGGGCCTCAGTTTTCTCATCTGGAAAATGGGATGATAGTACCTTCTTCATAGGGTTGTTATGAAGACAGATTCACTTAACACATGTAAGGTACTTAGAAGAGTGCCTGGTGCTTAGTAAATGCACGAGTCTTACTATTATTATTAACCTTTTATTTTTATTAGCTCAGGGGCATTTGAGGGGAGTGGGCAGGGGGGCGGGGAATAAGGGTAGAGGGACTTCCAGAGGCAGAGAGGTGGGTAGAGGAGTAATGTGGGGGCTGACAGCTGTCTGGGGTCCTTAATCTTAAAGGAATGGGGACTGAGTGGGGGGATGGAAGGGGCTAGCCGTGGTCTGGTTGGGGGCTCACAGCCCAGGAGAACCTTTCAGCTAACTCTCCCTATTCCACCTGCCGTCCTCAAGCTCTGTCCCACACACCCCTCAACCCAATAAGGGAATAAAAATAACATCAACCATGGAGCTATGGGGCTCTAGATACTCTCCTTTCTTCTCTGTGTTTTCCCTTCCCTTGGTGGCTGCAACAGAGGCCCCTTTGAGACCCTTTCCTTCTTTTCAAAGTCCAACTTGAGGTCTCCATCTCTCCCACCCCATCTCCTCCAAGAAGCTCCTACCCTCCAAGCCCAACCTCTGGCCTCCTCAGAGCATGCTTCAGCCTGGGCTGGCCTGGGAGCTGGAGGAGAGTCTCTCTCCTGAAATTCCCAAGACAGCATGGTCTTCTTGGTAACAGTGTTACCAGCTAAACTCTCTCTCTTTCACACACACACACACACACACACACACAGAGCAACTCCACACACAGCAACTCCATAGTCAAAAATCATCTTGGGAAACACTGGGTTAAACCAAATTAAACTGGTCTCTTTGCTGCAGGATATATCAGAGCCTTGAATACCCTAAAAGTCACTGGACTCTCTGAGAGGGGCTCAGAGCAGGCAGTTTCCCAGAATCCACACCAGGGAAAGAACACAGGAGAGAAGCTATAGCGTCGGGCACAGCAAAGGTGCTCTTGGCGCCCGGGGGCAGCAGCTCTGAGCCTTGATTCCCCTGCTGGGCTGGCATCTCCTCCCAACACTTTCCCACGGGTGCCAAAGGTGAGGCAAACTGTGCTGCTGGTTATGGGAACTTCCCTCCTGCTGAACTGTGACCCCACCCCTTTCCCACTCAGAAAGCATATCGGAATGCAAGTCAGAGGGGCATCTAATTATAGGGACAGCCATGAATCAGCTCTAATTTACTATAAAATCATAAGAAGTAAACAGTTCCTGAACTTTGGCATAATTAGTACCGAATTCTTTGTGATGCACAGGATGGGGCTGGCTGTCTGAAGGTCTATCTAACCTGAGAACAGAGACAAGGACCCTTTTCCCTGTGATCCTGCTCCCTGAAGGTCAGAGGGATGCAAAGAGGGACAGGGAGGAAAACGTGTTTACTATCCTGTGCAGGTGTCACACAGGCCATGGGCACATACCTACATGTCACTCCATTTGGCTACATGGTAATCCTGCAGGTAGGGGTGACGGCCCCACTGCACAGAACAGTAGTAGCTCATCACGGGCACATGGCCTGTGAGTTACCCAGGCTGGGCCAGGAGGCCTGCTTTGGGTGTCCACAGACCCTGGCCCGTCACACTGGGTTGGCATCGGTGTCCCTGAGTTGTAGGGGTTCGTTGCTCCAGCGCAGGAAGCAGCACCCTGATGGCAGACCTGTGTATGTGAGTCAATGTCTCCAACATTTGACGAGGGCCTGGCACTGGTGTTCAGTAAAAACTCGCTGAGATGAATGAATGAGGGATCAAGTGAAATAAAGTGATCCACTTGCTCAGGGAATAGTCACCTCATGTTACTTCTCTCACCTCCTCAGCGGCTCCCCATTTTGCTCAGAGTAACCATCTGTTGGAGCCCCTGTTATGGATTGAATTATATCCCCCAAAAATATGTGTTGTAAATCCTAACCTCTATACCTGTGGTTATAATCCCATCTGGGAATGAGTTGTCTTTGTTATGTTAATGAGGCAGGATTAGTGTAGGGTTTATTTTGAATCCATCTCTTTTGAGATATAAAAGAGATTAAACAAGCGAGCAAAGCAGAGATGGGGGAAGAGAGAGAGATGCCAAGCCACATGAAGATGGCCCAGGAGCAGAAGCTCAAAGAGACAAGGACCTTCCTCTAGAGCTGACAGAGACAGAAAGCCTTCCCCTAGAGCCAGCACCCAGAATTTGGACTCCTAGCCTTCTATAGTGTGAGAAAATAAATCTCTGTTTGGTAAAGCTACCCATTTGTGGTATTTCTGTTATAACAGCACTAGATAACTAAGACACCACCCAACTCCTTACCATGCATTCTAGTCCCTTCACCTCCCTGACCCCATCTCTTATACTCTCACCCTCTCAGCTCCAATCACATAGGCCTCCTTGCTGTCCTTCAAACACACCAAGCGCACACTCCCACCTCAGGGCCTTTGTACCTGCTGTTCCCTCTACTTGGAACACTCTTCCCCCAGATATCAGCATGGCTCACCCTCTCATTTCTTTAGGGTTCACCTCAAACATTAAGTGCTCGGCTGCTAACCAAAAAGTTGGTGGTTTGAAACCACCCAGTGGCTCTGCAGGAGGAGAAAGGCCTCGCCTTCTGCTTCCATGAAGATGATAATCTAGAAAACCCTATGGGGCTGTTCGACTCTGTAACATGGGGTTACTATGAGTCAGAATCTACTCATTGACACTTAACAACATCACCTCCTCAGGAAGGCCCTCCCTCACCACCTCATCTAAAACATCACCTCATCATTCTCTCTCATTTTTCTTTGTAACTCTTATCACTACCTGAAATTGTTATTTACCTATTTGTTTATGTGCTTACAGTTTTTCTCCCTGTCTTATCTGTGTGTTTGTTGTAAGCTCCATGTGGAGACAGGCCTGTGTTTTGTTCACTGCTGCTTCCCCAGTGCCTGCCACAGAGACCGGCACAGAGTAGTTGCTCAGTAAATCCTTGTCGAACAAAAGAACGGAAAGAGAAGGAGGAAGAGAACCCAGCCTCTGTCGAACAGCAGTGCCTGTACAGTTTTTCACAGGAGAAAGGAAAACAAGGGACTGTAGTAAAAGAACCAGATTTACTTCAGTTTAAGGCAAATTCCACACAGAGACTGTCTCAGAGACGGGCACAGGACCAGACAGAGTAGAAACACCACCTTCATGCATGACAGGAAGGGAAGCAGTGTTGAGCATCAGACAGGGTGGGGCCTGGTCTCCACCCAGGCATGGGAAGGTTAGGTTTCAGTGGGCCGAGGAGCCCCATGCGGAAGGAAGGGCTGGCATGCATGTCTTGCTCCCCGTGTGGGTAAAGGTGGGTGGCTGGGTGGGCCCAAGGGTGAGCTCACCTGTTCCTACCTTTCCCACAACAGGGGCAGAAGCTTGGGCTCAGACACCAGAGACCAAGGCTGAAGGACTGGGGTGTGTCTGAGGTGACAGGACAGGACAGGGTGACCCTAGGGCCAAGACGGCCTGGGATAAAGGGAGATCACATTGGTGAGGTGTGGGATGGGGGGAGCTAGGCATGGGATGAATGGACTGTCAGGACATCAAAGCTGAAGGAAAAGCTGGGACCATCTGGTCAACCTTCTCGCCATATAGATGTGGAAACTGAGGCCCAGAAGGCAAAAGGGCCTTGCTTGGGTTCCCACAGCAAGGAGGGGATGGAGGCAGGACTTGAACCCAGGACTCCTGTCTCCTATCCCTAGGGGATGGAGACTGCTCAGAGAGGAGGGGCAGTGTGGGAGCACCAAGGCTGGGTTGCTCCTTGCCCAGGCCTCCAGGTGGGCAGCAGAGGGGTGGGCACCAGGGGCCCTGGAGTCATCTGTGGAAGGGGCCTATGGACCCACACCAAGAAGAGGCCTGTGGGTCTGTGTCTAGAACCAGAGTCATACTCAGCTTAAGAGGCACCAGAAAGGCTGGCCCATCACAAGGCCCACCAGCCCATCATCACAGCCTCTCCCTCATGGGTCTGCAGGGCTCCCATTGCATGCAAGTGTCCCTGGGAAGGGTCACACGTCCAGGCATTCCTGTAAACCCATTAGCTTCAAGAGGCTCATTGGAATAGGGCACAGGATAGAGACTAGGGTGGGGGTTTGGGATAGAACTAGACACCAGAGAAGAGGACTGGGGCTAGAGGAGGGAAGCCCAGCCCAGGCTGCCTGGATACAGGTGAGCAGATGGAATTGCCCAGAGTGGGCTGAGGGGGAACCCGCATCATCCTGCTTAACACCTTCCTGGCTGGGCTAGAACTAGGAGTCAGGGGAAGAAGGGCCGAGCGGGATGCTGAGCCTCGTGCACACTTCCGCCCCTGTAGCCCCCAACTCCCTGGGTCTGGGCCTGAGTGAGGCCAGGAAATTAGGGTGGAGTTTCCGGAGGCCCCGCCCCCAACCCTCGTGCCAGGCACACAGATGTCCCAGAGGCTAGACTGGGCAGGGTAGGAGATCAGTCCAGGGACCCTGCCACTGTCTGACTGGCCCTCCCCA